ATTAAATCAGGCAGAACAGGAGAAATCAGGCAGAACAGGATTATATTTCAACAATGCCGACATAAATATTTACACTAGACAGAGAAGAAACTAAACATTGCAAATTTAACCCTTTGGTAATTACTCTTGAGGTGTTCTAGGTTTCTTCTTTCCTTGGTCCATGAAAATATTGGCGAACTCAGAATAGTACAGAAGATTGTTAACCTATTTGTTACAACATTTTACCGATCACAAGTTAACTTCTAAAATATCTCAGTCTAACCCATTATTTCACATTAAATGGGTTGCAACAGGTGTAATAAACCACAAACAGAGAAATAAATTGGAAAAAAGTGTAACATGTTTTCAGAAAATAAACAATTTAAGTGGAGACACTGTAACAGCAGGCATTTTAGTCATGGGCTATGTCAGGCAGTGGCACTTTTTCAAGCCATCAGACAAATTGTAAAGCATGAGAATTATCAAACAAGCCTAATAATACTGAAGGAAAACCATTACCGATCAATACAAGATTTATGAGAATCACAAAGTAACAAAATTGTGCTGTGTCTGACCTTTCTTGTTTATTTGGAAATAGTGAAAAGATATTAATATAAGGAAAGAAAGGAAACAGTGCATAAGGGATTTAAAAGAAAAAAAGTGGCAAGGAAGGACAACTTTTGTGACCACAAATAGATGCATGTGTCTAAATCTTTTTGCAATGATCGTGCCTTACAATTTCAGCCAGCAATACCATCAAGGATTAAATTTGCAATAAGAAGGCTCAACAGAGAAATAAAAAAATACAAAAAGACAAAACCTAGAACAGAAAATTATTCACCTAGATCAGATACACACCTTGGCCTGCCCGAGATGCTAGTTCGTACATCTGGAGTAAAAATTTAAAGAACGCCTTCAAACATGGTAGGGCTAAAAGGCCTACCAGTCTCAAGAACACTTGCATCTTTGTTCTTTGAACTTGAACCACTAGGCATGTCAAATTCAGAGACGAACTCTGCAAATGCACCCAATCTATATAAATTCAAATTCAAATGGACAACATATTAGTTAAGTGATTAGCCACAAAAAGAACAAGCATAGGCAAGGTAGCTTCCTATTTTCTGAGATCAGCAATCTATATCAATTTTGTTATTTGCAAATTGCAATTCTACTAAAACCACGTAAATGCAAAGTAATCGAATAAACAAAAGAAACCTTAGGCACTTTGCGAGTTCTCAATTCCTGCAGAAGCTGAACAAAAGGAGAACAGGATAGAAGAGCCTGTAGCGTTGCGTTGAGAAAGCACAGATTCCCTGAATTGATTAAACCACGAGGCAACAAGACCGTAGCAACTGTAACAGGCTCATTCAAACACTTATGTAGTTCCCCCTTTACCTTAGAAGCTGATAAATCATCAACCCGACCATTCTGCTCTCTGTTATGCAATTCCAGACTTGGAAATTGATTGGAGAGGCTACCAAAATAGAGCAAAATAAATCAGACCAATAGAAGTTTCATCCAAGCATGAAGTAATTCACAGTTAAAATACAGAAATTTCCAATCTCTCTAATTACTAAACTTCACAAAATCAGTCACAGGTTAGTGAAATTATCCTTCTCAAATGAAAACCATACAAAAAGACAAACTAGTCAATAACAAATACAAAACCTACCTTAGAATCACTCGTTTTGCGCACATAACCAAATTGGAAATCCCATAAACACCTAAAGAAAAGCACGAATTTTGTCTGAGAGGATTGAGAATGAGGAGGAAGTATGTGAAAAAAGTCAGAATCGAAACCAAGAATTAGGGTTTTTTGAGGCCCTGAAGGAGCAGAGGAGAAGAGAAAGACGTCGATTGAAGACATGAAAAGAGAGGGAATTGAGAGATTGTTGAAGGGAGAGAGCATTTAACGAAGAAACCCTCTCTTTCACCTTCAAGAACCCCCTCAACAAACCCTAACATTGACTGCAGAGAGAGAAAGAGAGTGCTGTTTAGGTTTTCGCGACAGAGGGAGAAAGAGAGTGGTGGTGGTCGATGGAGAGAGAAAGCGCTGAGAGAGGAAGAGAGAACTGTGAGAGAGAGCTGAGAGAGAGAGAGAGAGAGCAAGCGAATGCAGAGAGAGTGAATAGGGAGCTGAGAAGGGACCAAAATTTCTGTAACAGTGATATTTGTGCAATAAGTGGACAATAAATATATATTTTTAGGTGATAGTTTTACAATTTTTAAGAATGGGTGGTATTTTCACTTAAAATTATGAAAAGGGTGGCATAGAAGGCCATTTCCCAGTTTTTTATAGGTCTTAGTCACAGAGCCAAAACAACCACACACAAAAAATGTACAGTGAGTTGATGACTAATTTGATTTTTAAACCTTGAATCAAACAATTCCTGAAATTTCAAGATCAAACCCTATGAAATTTGTATACCCTATCACTAGCATGAAAATCAAAATTCACATCAGATTTAGAATTTACAAAGAGCGTTCTTCAAAATCCCCAGGCTCATTTTCTTCTCTTTTATGAAGGAACACATTTTTGAAATCCCAAACTTGGCTTTTTGGGCAACGTTTAAAAAAATTGCTCATTCTGAATGTGTTGGTCCCCTCTTTGAGGGTTGTGGATGTTTGTACATCCAATGACCGATATTGAGGAGCTAATCTCACTCATCCCTTGTTCTATTAAAAAATATTGCTCATTCTGAAGTCATTTTGAGCATGACATTTTCTTTTAAAAGACATACCAAACCAAGCTCTGAAATTTGGCCATAAACTTTAGCACCAGTATTCAAGTGGAGCTTACCTGTTTTTAAAGGTCACTATTTTTGCTAAAATTATTGTTTTGCAGACCCAACTGGAACAACTCTGACGAATTTTATTATTTCACAATTTAGGTGAACCAAAGGAGAGCACTGACACAACTGACTAGCACGAGAGTATTGGATTGTTTTGCTGCCTTCAAGGTTGCACTTTTTGCACTTGATCATGGCATTCAAAATTGATTGTCTCAACCAGTTGGATGGTGCAGCATGCATTCAGGGCAGGGCACACATAAAAAACAGAACAAAAGGTATATTTCATGCCCAGATTTAGATGTACGTGGGATGCACGATATATCAATGCTTGCTTGCTTAACATCTTATGAAAACTCTAACCTGTCAGACCAGTAAAGAAATATCAAGAAAGAGTCCACTCTCCACCTTGTCCTTCCTTTCACCCTTGAGGAGGTTTCAAGCCTGATCACCCCATGAGGATAGCCAGTGTTGCTTTGATCTTTTCGGATGAGATTCTTCTTCATTAATACAACCATTTTCACTACATTGTGCTCCATCATCACAGCGTTCAAGGCCTCGCTTGGTGGCAATGCCACCTGATTTTGATTCTAATTCTGATGGTGATGCTTTCTGACAATCGCTATTGGGGAATTCCAAAACCTCTTTACAAATACTAACCCTGCTCTGCCTGGAATAGGTTTGCTTGATAAGAGCTTCCACGTCTTCCTCATATGCTATACGGATCCCAGACTTCTTCACTTCCACTATTGATTCGTTGACCAGAAATAAAAATTCAAGCCTAGTGTGCAACTCAGTGAAAAAGAAGTACTGACAAGGAACATGGTATAACCAAAGGTGGTCTGGCCCAGATTGATCGGATCCCAATGAGCAACCAGCAACTGGCCACCAACAAAATGGTCCTCCGTTTACACTCAGTTGGCAATAAATAGGATAACGAGGACTAGACAGACTCCGGTTTCCATGGATGGCAAAAACAACACACAATGCAAATCCCATCCACTTATAATCAGTAGACCAACCTGGATGCAGCTCTACACTTACTGATGATGACCCCACACTTTTATGATTGAACCACTCTGGAATTTCATTTCCAGGAACAATGAATTCACAACTACATCCAGTAAGTTGTGCACTTTTAAGATTGTACCACTCTGGAATTTCATTTCCAGGATGAAGATAATTACATTCAGATTCAATATGTTCCGCACCCATACAGAATAGCTTCTTCGCCTGTTTGAGACAGTTAGCAAAGAGTCTAATGATGTCCAGACCAGATGCTACTAATGAATTACAATTATAAGCTTCAAGATAGTATATACTAGATTGAAGCTCTGGCAATGTTTCAAGTCTCTGGCAATGCCCCACGTCCAGAAATTCAAGTCGAGAAAGTTGACAGATGCTCTTCGGGAGGCTAACAAATGCATTTCTACTTACATCTAAATGTGTTAATGAGGACAGGCAGCCAAGATCATTAGGAAGTGCTCGTTCCGAGAGATTGCAGTCCCTTAGGTTCAGTTGTGTCAAAGAATGCAAACCAGATAAACAAGGCAACCACGAACTAGTTGTAGGATTTGAACTTATTCTCAGAAACGACCGGAAAGGTAAAAGCAGAACATTCCATGGATTTGATGATGGTCCTTTAAATCCACGGAGAGATAATACTTTAAGGTTTTTCAAAAGCCGAATTGAGGCAGGTGGTTCTCGTATAGCAGTTCCACTCACATCAAGCTCTTCCAAACTCTCAACATGGCCCAAGTCTTCAGGCAATTTCTCAAGCTTTGAGCAACCAAAAACATTAAAAACTCTGAGAGATTTTAGGCCACATACTCTGCTTGGAAGAAGCACAAGGTTTTTGCAATCTTTCAAGTTCATCAAAGTAAGTCTTTCAAGCACCACAACAGATGGGTCAACCTCATGCAATCGTATACAACCTTGAAGAATCAGACGCTCAAGAGACGGAATACCTCTAAAGTCCGGGGTCTTTACCAGATTTAAAGAATGGCTGAGATCAATCATTTTCAAATAGTAAGAAGGCTGCCATGAAGTAAAAACATAACAAAATTAGTTTCCATAATTTAAAGATTTCCAGGGGTACTAAAGATAAGTGATATTTTACCGTCATTCCCTTCCAAAGATGTTCAATGCAGCTATTACGCATGTTGAGTTCATGTAGATTCTTTGGATTGAAAGATGGTGGCAAAGATTTTAGAGGAAATTGGAGCCAGTCAAGAATCCGTAAACTATTGGGAAGATATTCAAGCTTGTTTAAGAGGTCCACATTATTGATAACAAGGAATCTTAGTCTTTTCATCATTGAGAAGGAATTAGCATTTGCACACACCACCCTTGGCTCAACTTGGTGCAGAACAATACCTTCTATTGCTTCTGTTCCCTAATAAATATGAATGAATAAAGAATAGTGAAACACATATCATAAGCAAAGTGTTAGTGAGCACTACATTATGTGATAAATTAGCAAATAGCAATCAACTTCCTTATTTTAGTAAAATGCCTTACTGTATTTTTGCTCAATACATGATTGACATCTTCACTACGCCACAACCTACTGCGCTTGCCTGGCTCATCAAGAGATTCTTGACGGACAATTTCCCGGCCCATGTCTTGAAGCAAATCATGCATCAATAGAGTGCCAGATGGATTAATAGTTAAGAGGGATTTCTCAACAAGGACACGTATTGCAATATCTGAACATAAACCGCAAGCATCCAGTGTTTCTCTTACTCGATCTTTGCCCTTCCCATTAAAGAAACATGCAATGTCTAGAAAAATTTTCTTCTCATCATCATCTAGACCATCATAACTTAGTTTAAGTGTCTCCATAATTTCCGAATTGCAAACTTCTCTTAGTTTATCCACCGCACTCTTCCATGCACTTGTATCTTTTCCATAGAAAAAAGAGCCCAAGACTTTAAGAGCTAATGGAACTCCTTTGGCATAATTCACAACACAACTTGACAAAACAAGATGGTTTTCTTCGGGGTAAGCTTTTCTAAAGGCTTTCCTACAAAAAATTTGAAGAGCTTCATCATTACCTAATCCTTCCACCTTAGATCTTCTCTCCACACCATGTGCAATTAACAAGTGCTCATTTCTAGTTGTAATGAGAACTCTACTCCCAGAACCAAACCACTCATGCTTTCCAGCCAAATATTCTAACTGGTCCAAATGGTTCACATCATCAAGAATTAGAAGAACCTTTTTGTGACGTAGAAACCTCCTTATCAATGTGGCTCCTTCACGAGCATGCCATATGTCATCCATTTTCATCCCAACCATAGAAAGAAGTTGCTTTTGTAGGTGAGGTACACCACTTTTCTCATAAACATTTCTAACATTGGCAAGAAACATTTTGTATTCAAATTCATGAGAGATTCTATCATAAACAACCCTGGCAATAGTTGTCTTACCAATACCCCCCATCCCCCATATCCCAATAAAGTAAACATCATCCACCCTTGCATCTAAAAACGAAGTGATTGGTTTCAATCTTGAATCAATTCCAACTAAGTCGTCAACATAACTTAACAATGTAGGACACAGTTTTTTCCCTACCACTTCAACAATATCTTTGATGAGCTTTGATTCAGACCTATGGCATAGAATAGATAATATAATTACGTTCTTCACATGGGACCTAAATCAAAATGCATATAATTGACAAAGAAACAAAATCTAGACTTTTTTTATTACTAGTCTTTATCATGGGACCTGAATTAAGCCAAAGCTGAATTATGTAACAATGCATGTACTCTGTGTTTTCCTTTCCATTCTTCTAATGACATTTATAGCTGCAGATGAGTCATACTTCCTATGTCCCTTGAAAATAGTAACTTATACCATAAAAAAATAAGAATAACACAACTATAGCAATATAATTGGATGTATTTCCCTTCCTAAAAACATTGAAGTCTCACTCATTGTACATACAAATCATCATATAAGAAGACGGCCACTGAAAGCAGAAAGAAAATAAGCAATGCATACCTGCCCTTTGAATCCCATCCAGAGAAATTTGTCACTTTCCTTAAAGCATCTCTCCACATTTGCACCTTCTCTGTGTCATCTCTCAGCTTTTTTTCATGTTTACTGAAGGCTTCTGCAAAACTTCTTGTTTGCTTTCGTACATCAGAGCGATCGACATCATAAAAAATTGGTAGCACTGCTTCTCTTGCTTCCATGCATTCAAGAATCTTTAAAAGTTCATCCAAA